TTGGGTTCAGGATGGGCCTGGCAGGGGAGCAGTGCACGTGTGGAGATGTCGTCGCCCCAGGATCCTGCAAGGCCTGACTGCCCGACCCTGGCCTGGGATTGCCTCGCGCCCGCACCCCCCCATCGTCGCAGGCCTAGATGTTTGGCACCAGCACCAGGATCGGCGGTGTGCCTCCACTGAGGGAAGGAGGCCCCGATCTCGGTGAGGGTGGTAATGTTCTGGCTTCCAGGGTGGCCGAAATATGACCACCAACACCGAAATCTAAGATTAAATCGGCCTGTCCCTCTACAGGAGGAATATTCAAAAGTGAAAACAATAATCAGGGGACGATTTTTCAATATTTCCGACAATCTTGGAGCATGTCTGGATTATTTCATTATTTTTCGTCCAGAATCCCCCTGTAGGGGGACATGCCCGACCTGCATTTAGGATCATCTTCCCCCTGGAGACTGTTTTTTAGGGTCGGGCGATAACCCGGGTTATCGGGCTTGCCCCCCCCTCCCCCCCTCCCCCCTCAGGATAACCTGACCTTGTCGGCTGTGCAGCTCCGCGGGAGGGGGGGCGCGGGCGTATGCAGGACTGCCCACAGCGCGAGGGTTGGGTTATCGGCCGGCCCCCCTCCTCCCTCCCCCCTGGGATAACCCTGGCTATCGCCGATTCAAAAAAAGATGGTCTCCTGCGGAGGCAAACCCTATGTGTTGGCGGTGGTGCCCATTTCGGGGCCTCCGACGTCGACGTCCAGGGAGCAGGCCGTCGGCCTCGGCCGGCCAAGACTGCTCGGGGGCCAGGGCGTGCCCGCCTCCTCCTCCTCCTCCGCCTCCTCCTCCTCCTCCGCCTCCTCGTCCTCCTCCTTCTTCCTCCTCCTCCTCCGCCGCCACCTCCTCCTCCTCCTCCTCTTCCTCCGCCTCCTCCTCCTCATCCTCCTCCTCATCCTCCTCCTGCTCCTCCTTCTCCCCCCCTCCTCCGATTTCGGTCTCGGTCGAGGGCCTCGGGCGGGCAAGCCTGCTCCAGGCAGCGTTCCCCCAGAGGAGGGGTCGGGGTCGAGACCTCGGGCGAGCTTGGGGCCCTGCAGTCCCGGCGATTCCCCCCGAAGGGCGACGAGCAGCACAGGCATCAACTTTCGGGGCCACGAGCGGATTCCCGAGGTCGGCGCTGGGCCGCCTCTGGCGGCGCCTCCGGCGCCGCTCAGCGCCGATGCCAGAAGTCCGCACCGAGCCCCGAAAGTTTGTGTGTCTGCGGTTCTGTTTTTGCTCCATCCAGTCTCCAGGGGCCGTTCGTGGGCCTCAGGCGGTCAGACCTTTTTTTCGGGCAAGGCCAGGACGGCGATAAAAATCCGTTGTGGAGCGTTCCGGAATGCTCTCAGAGCGTGCGGGAACGCTCTGGGAGGGCCGCGGCGCCCAATACATCCCCCAGAACCGCCGGATCTCAGAGATTCCCGAGTTATCCTCAGCCGAATTTATCTTTTTCCTGCCCCCTGCTTCTTCTGCCTCCTCCTCCTCCTCCTCCTCCTCCTCCTCCTCCTCCTCCTCCTCCTCCTCCTCCTCCTCCTCCTCCTCCTCCGCCCCAGAGGACGGGTCGAGACCTCTGGGGCCTGCGGTTGGAACGCCAGGTCCGTCGGATGTCTAGGTCGGCGTGCCGGCTTTATTTATCAGGGCGCGATTTCCAGCGCGAATTTCTTCTCTCAAGCAGTGGCGAGGCGTCCTGGCGGGCCTATAGGCCCACCCAAGAGTGTTCTAAGAACCTTTTGTGGTCTGCAAGATATTGTCTCATAACATGTCTGTGTGAGACTGTCTTGTTTTTACACATCGGGCTTATGTTCTAAGAACACTGATTGTTCTTAGAGCAGTTTTGGGTTCTAAGAACATTTCGTGGTAGGACTATAGGAATGCCGGGGCGGTCGGCCCCTGCTCAATCTTCGGAGGTTCAGAGATGGGGTCTTCAGGGGTGGGGCCCTAAAGATAGGAAGGCCGTGATATCCGACGTTGCAACAAAAGTTGCAGCATCGCCCAAAATCACGCCTGGAGCCCCGGGGCCTTTCAATTCTCAGTCATTTTTCGAGCCAGGTCCATGTGTGAGGGCCCCGGGGCCCGAGACTGCACGAGAACGCCCGCTGTAAAAAAGATGCCACGCCAGGATCTCAGGGGGGACCCGAGGGTGGATTTAAGTTGTTTGGGGCGCCTCGCCCTTGGGACCCCCTCTCTCAGGACCCCATCTGTGAACCAGCAATCTTCTCGGGGTGGGCGGGCGGCGCGCTATGCCACCCTGGCGGGGCACGGAGCGGGGCGAGGGCGAGGTCGCGCGGCCTTCGGAGGAGGCACCGCCCGCTTCTCGGAGGGAGCATTCGTGCTTCTGCTCTGCCAGGGGGCCGGTCCCTGTTGAGGGGGCCCCCCGGTGCCAGCTCTGGCTGCACGTGAGATTGGTGACTACTCATGGCACCAACATCGCAGAGCGGAGTTCGTTCGGAAAACAATCGGATGGGCCCTGGGGTGTCCTGGAGAATTTCGTGTTCCGGATTTCGAAGTGAATGTCGTGCGGCTTCTTTTTTGCCAGGAGTGAAGACTAAACAAACCTCCACGTGAAATTCATTTCGTTTTTTGCTCGCCGTTTAGGGGTTTTGCCGAGGGAATCCACGCCAAAAATCCGCTGCAGCACGTCTGCACAGGTCCTTGCAGTGAGACTAGCATTAAGTCGGGCTTGTCCCTCTACAGGGAGAATATTCAAAAATTGTCAAACATAGTCTGGGTACGATGTTTAGATTTTTGTTTTGCATGTTTGGAGTATTCTGGGGTATCTTTATTTTTTCGCCCGAAATCCGCTTGTAGGGGGACAGGCCCGACCTAAGGACCTAAGGCTAGAATGGGCGTGGTTACGCTCGGGTGTGGTTTACGATCTGCGCCGCTGGGGCTTAGGCTTGGCATCGCTGAGACGTGTGCATTTTTTCTCGGCGAGAAAACCATCGAGGAGCATCCTGGACCATCGAGCAACAGAAACGCGCGCGAAACCGACAAAAATGCACAGGGACCGGGCGTCCGAGCGACGGCGTTTCGGGGTGTGCTCTCCCCGACCCGTGGAGCTGGCGCCCACGCGCTAGCTCCGCGGATCCCTGCGGTCGGGAACTCTGGCTTGGCCGGGCAGGCCCAGGACAGGGAGGCATCTCTCCAGAGTTCTCAGAAGGCCGTGGCGCCTCAGACATCCTCCAGAACCGCTGGATCTCAAAGACCCCCGATTGTAGAGTTCTCCTGCCTGTGCCGCCGATCCGGGACGCTCCGGGACGCCACGGGTCTGAGGAGCCCTCGTCGGGCCGTGGCAGAGCTCGCGGTCGAGGCCCCCGCCCGCCCGTCCGCCTTCCCCGGGGGCCGAGGCTGCAGGCCACGCCCTCCGCAGGCCACGCCCTGCGGAGCCGCCAGGCACGAGGGGCCCTTCGCTGGAGTTGCGGGCAGTACTTATATCCATATCCAGAGCGTCGTGGACTTGTTGGGAAGAGGTGCCGCAACGCCGAGGCGCACTGGATATGGATAAAATCAAGCCTCTTGGGGCCAGATGTTTTTCCATATCCAGTGCGTCTACGGTTTCTGGGGACGAGGGCCCAAGAATCCAAGACGCACTGGATGTGGATATAACTATTTGCGGTCCCGCACGGGCCCCCCAGCAATTCGTCGGGCCTGTCCCTCGACAGGGGGAAGGCTCAAAGCACAGTCCACACAAGGGACGTTGTTCTCACCATGTCTGAAGATGCTGAAGGTATTGTTTTGACTGCTTTGAATTTTTCGCTCCAGATCGGCCTGTGGGGGGAGCAGGCCCGACCTAACCCAGCCCTGGCCTGTCCCTCTACAGGGGGAAAGCTCAAAGCACAGCCAACAGAAGGGACGATGTTCTCACCATGTCTGGAGATGCGGAAGGTATTTCTTGAGCTACTCTGAATGTTTCACTCCAGATCGGCCTGTGGGGGGAGCAGGCCCGACCTGATCCCAGCCCTGGCCTGCGCGCCTGGAGCTGCCCCCCCCCCCGCGGCCCCAGAAGGCCGGGCACGGAGAGCTCCCTCCTCTTCGGGGCCACTCCCTGCGTGCCGGCGGCCCTTACGATATGGCTCCCGATAGTGGGGCACATGCGAACCCTACCCCTACCCCCCACGATTTCTGAGGGGGAGGGTGGGGTTCACTTCGCTCGGGAGCTCCCGAATGGAGTGAACCTCGCCCGGGGTAGGGGTAGGGTTCGCATGTGGCCCCCTATCGGGAGCCTTGAGACGGGGGTTGAGGCAAACGGGGGTCGGCTTAAGTCGGGCGTGCCCCCCTACAGGGGGGTTTTCGACGAACAATACAACATATTCAAAACATGCTCCAAAATGGCCAAAAAATGCTCTAACAATAGTCCCCAGGCTATTTTTTGTAATATGTTCGAATATTCCTCCTGTAGAGGGACGGGCCCGACTTGAGTGTCAGCCAGAGCGCCCGATTTTGTAGGATCCTGCAGGGCCAGGGCCGCACTGACCCGGACTTGGGTGCAGGATCCTGCAGGATGCTTCGCGCTGGCCCGGGTTTTGGTGCAGGTTCTTGCAGGATCTTGCAGAAGTCTGCAAGGCCTGACTGACCTGGGTCTGGGTTGACCCGGGTCAGAAGATCCCCGAGGAACGGCTGCTCAGCGTGGCGCGCCGCCGGTTCCGGCCCAACCGCGCTAACCTTCTGGACGACGATCAATGGAGAGAAAGCAAATTGTCCACTAATTCCCAGATGTCTAAACGATGTTTTAAGCATGTCTGGAATATCTATAAGAAGAAACACATGCCTGAAACAGTCCCCGAGCATTCCTCAACCCTGCGAAAACACACACGCACACACTAGATTCAGCGATCGGATTGTCAGGGTGTCCGCTGTCATGGCAGCCACAGTGCTTGCCGCGCCCCAGCCTCCAAGCGTCAGCAGTCGGGGTTCTCCCCAGCCTCCCGCCCCCGCGGAGCGGAGCGACACGCGCGGCCGCCGCCGCGACACGCTCGGCAGGCGTGTCCGACCGCAGGGGGACGCCATCCTTCGACGTCGGCTTTCTTGTGTTGAGTCGGGCCTGTCCCTCTACAGGAGGAATGTCCAAACTCATTAGCGAAAAAGGTACATGGGGACGACTTTTTAGCACCTCTTCAATCATTGGTTGATTATGTTTTGAACCTGCTTTCTTTGTCGTCCAAAGTTTGCCTACAGGAAGCCGCGCCCGACCTAAATCTTGTGGGGAAACGTGAGAAACGAGTTCGCCATAACTTTGGCTTGCCGACGCTTTTTGGCGGGTCCGCCTTGGACTTTGACGGTCCAGTGTTCGTGAGATGTTGGCGTGAGCTCGCGCCAAATCTCAAAACTGGGTCTCGTTTCTCGAATTTTGTGGCTGCCTTGAAAGACCAACTCGGCTCCACACTCGAGTCTTGCGTCTCCCCAGGGTCTTATTGTTGTCCATGAGGCCCGTGCCACCAACACATACTGATACGATGTGTACGTCGCCCACGCAAGTGCGACGCACGCGCACACAAACCTTACAATATGTATATGCTCGGTGGCGGGCATTTTTGGTCATACCGCTTGGGAAACTATATATCTGCATGTTCCGAACAATACAACATCCCCCCTTAGACCTGCGTGTTGATTCTCTCCGGCCAATACCGCTTCGGTCGGCGGTGAGGCGGGGCCGAACTTCATTATCCCCGGGCAAGGGCGAGTCGTAGATTGAATCTTCTTACCGCATCATCGTCGTTATCATCACTAAAATCGTCAAATACGACGACGACGACTACTACTACCGCTACTACTATTCTTACGAGTACTAACTATTACTACTACTACTACTACTACTACTACTACTACTACTACTACTACTCCTACTACTACTACTACTACTACTTCTATTACTACTACCACTTCTACTAATACTACTTCTTCGATCTGCTACTACGACAACAAGCATGGTTATTACAAATACTATGATTACTACTTCTCTACGACGACTACTACTACTTCTACTACTACTACTAATAGGATTATTAGTAGTAGTAGTAGTAGTAGTAGAAAAGTAGTTGTACTACTACTACTACTACTACTACTACTACTACTACTACTACTACTACTATTATGACTACGATTTTATTATTCTAGTACGACTACGAGTGCGACTAGTATTACGACATCATCATTCTGATTCTCATTATCATTCACTGTGACGGCTCCGACTACTACCTTCCGTCCCCCCACGGGCGATTTTTTTTCCGGGGGCTTCCTATCATTGGGAAGTGCCCGAGATGATACCCCCACACACGAAGACATGGATAGTATTTCCGAAGGGCAATTTGCTAGGTTTGCAGCTTTGCTTGTGTTCGAAATCCCTTCCCTTCTCCTCCCTCCCTCCTGGTTCCTCCTTCCTCCTTCCCCTTGAACATCAACAACAACTACATCAACTACTCGTCGTAGTCGTAGTAGTATGACTACTGCTACGACTATCACTACTCGCACTACTAGCCTAATTACGATGACGACTACGTCTATTACTACTGCTAGTCCTACCTCTACGTCTTCACGACTTCTACTACAACTATTGCTACTAACTACTAAAAGAACTACTACTAGACCTACTACCACTACTACAACTACTACTACTACTACTGCTACTACTACTGCTACTACTACGACTACTACTACTACTACTACTACTACGACTGCTACTACTATTAATACGTCTACTATTACTACTACCACTACCACTACTACCAGAATTACTATTACTACTACTACTACTACTGCTACTACTACTACTACTACCACCACCACCACTGCTACTACGACTACTATACTTAGTACAACTATGGCTACAACTAGAACTACGACTAGAACTACGACTACTACTACTATTACAACTACTACTACTTGTTCTTCTTCTACTACTACTACTACCACTACTACTTCGACTACTAATTTCATTGTCGCTACGAATAATATTTCTACTACGATTACGACGACTACTACTACCACTACTACTACTACTACTACTACTACTACTACTACTACTACTATTGGATTTCTATTATTACTACAACGACTACAGCAACAACAACTACTACTACTACTACTACTACTACTACTACTACTACTCCAAGTACTACTACTACATATACTACTACATATACTACTACTACTACTACTACTACTGCTACTACTATTATTACTAGTACTACTACATCTACCACTACTACCATTGCCACCACTGCTACTACTACTACTACTACTACTACTCCTACTACTACGACCACGACTACTACGACTACGATTACGACTACGACTAATATAAGTACTACTTCTTCTACTACTATTTTACTATATTTTACTACTTCTACTACAACCACTACTCCAACTTTACTATTACTACGACTACGACTACGGCTGTTACTACTACTGCTACTACTACTACTACTACGACTACTACTATTTCTTCGGCTGGTACTACGGCGACTACTGGTACTGCTACTACTACTACTATTACTACTACTACTTTTACTACTACTACTACTACTACTACTACTACTACTACTACTACTACTACTACTACTATCACTACTACTACTACTTTTGCTACTGCTACGACTACTGCTACTACTACTCCTATGACTACTACCACCACAATAACTATTATTACTACTACTATTACCACTATTGTTACTGGTAGCATCACTACTACTACTACTACTATTACTACTACGACTACTACTACTACTACTACTACTACTACTACTACTGCTACTACTACTACTACTACTACTACTACTACGACTACTACTACTACTACTACTACCATTGCTTCTACTACCACTACTTTTACTGCGACTACTACTACTACTACTACCACTACTTTTACTACTACTTTTACTACTACTTTTACTACTACTACTACTACTACTACGACTACTACTACTACTACTACTACTACTACTACTACTACTACTACTACTACTACTACTACTAGTACTACTAGTACTAGTACTACTACTACTAGTAGTACTGCTTCTACTACTACTACTACTACTACTACTACTACTACTACTACTGCTACTACTACTACTGCTACTACTCGGACCTTCTCCTCCCACCCCTCCCCCTCGCCCTCACCAGCATCACCACCAACAACAACATTATCATCATCATCAGCATCATCATCATCATTCTCATCATCACCAGCATCATATTTCTCCTTAGCGACCTTTATGCTGCGACCTTTGGGGCAAATGTTTATTATCTTCCCTGGACCCAAAACCTTTATCTCTCCCCCGTGAGCATCAGGGGTAAATGGTTTTGTTATAAGATTTTGTACTGCTTGTTCGGAGCGGATGTGCGCCGCCAGCACTTGTATATAGTACCAGTCATGTACCTGTGCCATACAGCGGAAGCCCATGCCAAGAAACACGCTGCTTGCCTCCAGGGTGCCCTGGGCTTCTTTGGCTCCGATGGTTTTGTTATGAAAGGGTGACTTTCCTGCGCCAAAATCCAATGGATGTCTTGGAAAGTCAGGGGTTGGCTTTTTGTGGAAGGTTTCTTCTGGTCGAGCTCCTACTGTAGGAGGCCCCCTACCTTTACTGCCCTTGTCCTCCGACCCGGTCGAGGCTGGCGACCTAGAGTGGCTGGGTCTCTCGCTGCTGCGGGAGGGTCCGACGGGCTCTGGGGGGCCAGCCGCCGCAGGGTCTGCAGGTGGTAGGGCTGGCGCAAGGGGGCGGAGGAGGTGGGCGCGCTTGCGCCGCGTCTGAAGTATGTTTTACGTTTCCTGCCCCCCAGACCCCATCGCGCCGTGGACACCACACGGCGGCCGGCTTCGTATCTCTTCGGCTCCTGGGGGCCCTCGGGCTGGCTTCGCACTCCGACCCCCGCCGGCCCCGTGGCCCTGGCCCACGGCGCGAGGAGGCCTCGGCCCTCGCCCCGGCCCGGTCGGCCCCCCCGCCAGGGCCCAGAGCGCATCTGCCCGCGCCCCGTCTCGAGCCAGGTCGGGCGTCAGTTACCAGTTTGAAACATATCCCTATCCCTATGTTTGACATCACCTCACCTCGATGCCGATCTGAAGGCTTCCCTCAGTTTCTGAGGGCCTGCCCCTAAGATTGTCCTCGCTTTTTGCTCGCCCATCTCAGGGATAGGGATAGGTTCGAGGCTGGTTAGTCAGGGCTCCTCCGGGCGCGCGCGGCGCGGCGCGCCGAGCGGCGCGGCGCGAGCGGCGCGCCCGAGGGGGCGAGGCGCGGGCGGCACGAGAGGCCGGGCTGCCGCCGCCGCCGTGCACCCGCCGTGCCTGGGGCGGCGGCCGAGAGGCCGAGGGCCGCGCCTCGCCCGGCCGCGCCTCGCGCCGAGCCCCCTCAAGCCTCGGGCTGCGGCCCTCCTCCTCCTCCTCCTCCTCCTCCTCCTCCTCTCTCCTCCTCCTCCTCCTCCTCCTCCCTCGTCCTCCTCCTCCTCCTCCCTCGTCCTGCCTCACGAGTGGCTCCCTCTCGTCTCTTGCTGCTGCCTCAGACGTACTGCTCACCACCTCTTTGGCGCCCTGCGGGGTCGGCGGAGTCCCTCGAGCCTGGGGCTTCGGCCCTCGAGCCTCGAGCCCCACCGAAGAGTGTTCTAAGAGCTTGTCGTGGTCTGCGTGGGACGTTCTCGGAACCTTTCCGGCTCAGGCCGTGTTCTTCTGGCACATCGGGTGTCTGTTTTGAGAGCACTAGAGGGTAAGAACATGGTTTTCCCTCTCAAGAGAGTTCTGGGTTCTACGGGCATTTCTTGGTAGACCTTTTAGGAATGCCGGGACGGGCGGTCCCTGCTCAAGGGATGCTCGACGACGCGTGAGAGTGACCCTTCGCCACAGAGACCCCCCGATCGTTGAATACGATGTGACAGCAGCGGCCTGTGCTCTTGGATTCGGTCCCTTCGCGCCCCCCAACGGCCGCGCACCAAAGGACACCTTTGCCTCTAGGGCCGCTCTCACGTGCAGCCGAGATTCGGTGGGCACGTTTGGTAATGATAGACCCTGCAGGATTCCTCATCTGATGAGGGCGGCGGTGGTATCCATGGCCACGCCTCCGTTGGTATCACCCACGCTCTCCGACCCCGAACTCCTCATCCACAGGCTTCGTGTCCAATGCCCTCACTGGCGCGTCTCGGCGGAGCGCCGTGGGCGCTCACAGGTTAGGATTCATGCCAGCACGTGCCTTGTGCACTCGAGGTTAGAACAAAAATGCCCTCACTGGCGGGGGGGGGGGGGCACGCAATCTGCTGCGCGCGGCTGGTTTCGGCCTCGCAGCGCCGATGCGGCTCGATCTGGAGCCCGACGTTTTCCACGCCAGCGGCGCCGATGCACCGCCGACGTCGCCGATGCATTGCCGACGCATTCGCCGATGCATTCGCCGATGCATTCGCGGTGCGGCACGGTCCTCCGACCCCATCCAGTACGACCGAGCCTACAGTGACAATTTTCTGAAAACCCATGCCAAGAAACACACTGCTTGCCTCCAGGGTGCCCTGGGTTTCTTGGGCTTCGATGGCTTTGCTATGGAAGCCGTGACGTTCCCACACCAGAAACCAATGGATGTCCTGGCGACTCGTTTTCTTGTTGAAGATTTCTTCTGGTCGCGGCCAGAGGCCGCGCCGATCGAGTGATGAGAGTTGCTCCTTTCTCTGTGTGGCTTGATCGACACATCCCCACGGCGGTGCTGGCGGAGGTCGACAAGCAGGCCTGGAGCGGCGCGCACATCCACGCGGCAAGGGCCGCGCTTGGCGGCGTCGCCATCGGACCGCTCACGGAGCAGAAGGACAAGCAATTCCGAAAGGGCACTCAGAGATGGTTCACCGGCCGCCTCCTTGCTCGCGACGGCTACTGCGCGGAGCGACGTCTCGGGGTCCGCGCCTGGCCAGGTGGCGTCTGCCAGAGTTGCCCGGCCGTGCGGCCCAGCGGGTGGTGGCACAGCATCTACGGCGCCTCGGACAACTTGTTCCGCCCCGGATACGGGCCGCTATGGTCAGCACCATCTTCAGCCGATGGACAACGAACCGTCGAGTGCGGTCTCTCTGGGAGGGCCGGCGGGTCTGCGTGCTCGGGTGCTCCTGTGCAGCGGACGATTCCGTGGAGCACTGCACGCGCTGCCTCATGGGCCAGACATGGTCCAGAATGCAGCTGGGATGGGCTCTGACAGAGCAGCCTCTGACGCAGGGAATGCTGGCATCGGTCATGACAGACGAGCAGTTGCAACGACAGGCGGTGACCAACTACGTTCTGTACCGCGCGGTGAACGATACGCGTAGGCGTCAGATACAGCCGAGTGCAGAACGCCGAGAGACCGCCAACGCGGTCATGGACCAGCTCTTGCACGGAGCCACCAGTTTAAACGACGTTCGACTTCGGCGAGTTTGCCAACCACACCGGGACAGGGGCACCGTTCGACGCCATGCTGGGGCAGACGCGGGACGCCGACGCGTGCAGCCGCGCGCGGCTCAGACGACGTCGTGAACGACACCTTCAACGATAGGTTCCCCATCCTCGAGCACGAGACGCCGTTGCAGGTGAGGGCTCCTCTCTCATCCGTTTCTCGTCCTTCCCTCCTCGTCCTCGCTCCTCTCCCCGCGCGTCCCGGCCGCGCGGCTGACATTTGACCGACCACAGACCGCGGCCTGCTCCAGTTCCGCGGCTGGCAGCCAAGCGGCGCCAGTCACAGGCAACGACCTCTGATTTCAACATCATGTTGTTCTTCCCTATGTGGTCCGTGTTGCACTTTCTTCGGGCCGGCCGGAGGGCCCGTGAGTTGGCCGAGACGCCCGTCGAGGGAGATGCTCCTTTCCACCCGCCGTCCCCCTCCCCTCTCGTCCTCCGTTTCGGGTGGCCGACTCTGCAGGCTGCGCCGGCCAGGCGACGATGCGGGCGGTTTCGCCCACAATCGAGGATAAGACGCTGCATGGGTTCGTATCTTTCCAGTCTGGGGCCTGGCTGGAGGCCGGGGGCAGGCCCGAACTTTCCAGCACCTGTTGGGTTGATTTCTTTTTTGGGCCTCGCCAAAGGACACTGCGGTCTGTCTCGGCTCATCCTCCTTCCCCCCCCCCCTTCTCCACATTCTTGCCCATCATGGCTGGGAGGAGCGCTCGTGGCGATGGCGTCGTTTTCTTTGGTGTGATCTGTTCCCCTTCCTCTTCCTCCTCATGCATGTTCCGCTGTAGGTTGAGCTGCTCTTCATGTCTTCTCGACACTGGGTCCCACGTCCGCTATTTGTCGCCCCAGGCTTGCACGGCAAGCGACGGTCGCCCATGCAGGCGCCCGGCCGCTGTGGTCGGCTGCTATGTTTGGCTTCGGCCCCGTCGCCATACCACACAGAACTTGTCTTGCCTTGTCATGGGAGTCCTCGGACCCTTTACTGTTTATGCTCGTAGCGCGCTGGGCATTTCGATTCGCGGAGCCTTCTGGCTGTGAGCGTGTCGCTGCCTTGTCCGCCATTTGTTTCATCCAGCCGGCTCTCCCGTCCTCAGTCTACCGTGCTAGTTTTTCCCGTGAGGGCAAATTGTACGAGTACCGCTGGAGGCATCCTAGGAAAGGTGTACGCACGCGCGGGTTTTCTGAGCATGGATATTCCGTTCACTCTTCCTGTTTCTCTCTTTCCTCATCCTCCTCCGCTCCCCTCCCCTCCTTGGGATTGCATGAGCCACGACTGGACGTCGCAGGCCGTGAGTGGGTGCTTTACGAAATGACGTGTGTTTCCCTTCTCCCCTCGCCTCTTTCCTCCGCCTCCCCCTCTTCCGCTCCTTCTCTTCCGCGTTTTAGTTTTCGTCTCGCCCGGGAGGAACGGACGATAACGGTCCGGCGGCAAGACAGCTTGCCGACTCCCCGCTATAATTTCAAGCATCCGGCATCAGTTCGGATTGCCTCATCCTTATCTTTTTCCTGATGCTCAAAAAAATGTTGAAAGTTTCTTCTGGTCGAGCTCCTCAGTGGGGGCCCATGCCAAGAAACACGTCGTTTGCCTCCAGGGTGCCCTGGGTTTCTTGGGTCTCGGTGGTTTTGTTTTGAAAAGGATGACAGCCCCACGCCAAAAGCCAATGGATGTCCTGGGGGTTCAGGGTTTGGTTTTCGTGGAAGGTGTCTTTTGGTCGAGCTCGTACTGTAGGAGGCCCCTACCTTTACTGCCCTTGTCCTCCGACCTGGTCGTGGCTGGAGCCTCTAGTGGGCCCGGGTCTCTCGCTGCTGCCGGAGGCTCCGACGGGCCCTGGGGGGCCAGCCGCCGCAGGGTCTGCAGGTGGTGGGGGTGGCGCGGGGGGGGGGGGGGCGGAGGAGGTGGGCGCGCTGGCGCCGCGTCTGAAGTATGTTATACGTTTCCTGCTCTCCAGACCCCAGTGCGTCGTGAACACAACACGGTGGCCAGTTTTTTACATTTTCGTTTTCCGGGGGCCCTCGCCGAGCCGCGGGACCGTCCAAAAACGGTTCTAGATGAAAAACCCGTCCTTGTCAAGGGCTCCACGTACTTGAACAGGCCCTTGGTAAGTTCTGTGAGGCTTGAGCGCTGCAGGCTAAGACTTCACAGTGGTTTAACAAAGTTCAGCGACACTGTCGTATGGCTGAGGCCATCTTAGCTGCCGCAGCGCATCTTCAAGGTAGTTATGCTGCCTAGGTAAGGCTAGCTCAGGAATGCTAAGTCATGTTCGAACATGTTAAGGTCGGTTAATGTATGCTGGCGTATGCTATATTTCCGAGTTTGTCTGCCAATTTGAACTTGTGTTATGGACGAGAAGGGGGATGGGGATGATGCGGGGCGCAGCCGCTGAAGCTGCAGCTTTATTTTGTAAAATGGAGGGAAGAGGAGGATCATTGGGGAAAGGCGAGCTGGGGATGGAGGAGGAGGGTGAGGAAGACAGAGGTGGATGATGAGGATGATCGGGGAGGGGGCACAGCGGGGTGACAACAGGGACAGCATTTGTTTGGAGGAGGAAGACGAAAGAGCGGAGGAGGAGTGACCACCTGGGGCGACGAATGGGGAGAGGCAGCGACGCGGATGATGCGGGGCATTGAACCGGGGGGAATGCGAGAGGATCATGGTCGATCATGGCGGAAGTGCTCCGCCGCGGCGTCGGGTCGGCGGGGGGGGGCCCCCGGTGGGCGCGTTCGCACCGCGAACCCCGCGCACGGTTGCGGCGCGCCCCTCGCGAGGGTCACACCCCTGGTGCCGCGCGCGGGCGAGAAGGGGATGCCTTGCCTCGGCATCGCTCGGGCGTGTGCATTTTTTCTCGGCGAGAGCCCTCGAGGACCATCCTGGACCATGGAGCAAACAAAACACGCACGAGACCGACAACGTGCACGGGAAAGGGGCGTCCGAGCGACGGCAAGTTGCTCCTTTGATATGGTCGGCTGCTTCTCCGCAGCGGCAAAAAGCAGGAGCGTGCTCGATTCCGACGTCGATGCGCACGAACAAATCGCATGCCCGTTTCCGATGTGCGGTCGCGCCGCGCAGAAAACACACGAGTAGCCTGATGCGCGATCGCCGCCGGCGGCTCTGGTCGCCGATGTGTGCTTGGAGCTCTGAGTTTCAGAAGGGGGGAAAAAACAGACACAAGGAATCGTCGATTCCCCAGAAGATATGAAAAAAAACAACAACAATATGGGAAGTGGGGAGGGAGACAAAGACCCAGAAGATTTGGGGAAAGATTGGGAATCCTGCTATTTGTGCGTATTTACTTGTGTGCCCCAGGGCCCGTCAGGAGCTCTGTTGCCCGCGAGCTGCGCGCGGGCGATGCGCGGCTTTCTCGCTGGTTCGGCGTGTTCTGCTCTTCTGCCGCAGCGGGACAACAAAGCGCGCCGGAACCCTGCGCCGATGCGCATGAAACAGGGGACCAGACAATGACATAAACATAACAACTCGGAGGTCCGCGCGGATTTCTCGGATCGGCGCTGGGCCCCCCGGCGGCGCCTCCGTCGCCGCCCCTGGCGCGCTCCGCGCACCAGGGAGGGGGGTCCAGCGCCGATCCGAGAAATCCGCGCGGACCTCCGAGTTTTTATGTTTATGTCACTTCTTGTATCCCTATGAAGACCCGTGCCGTTCTCAGAGGTTTCCTCGGGACGACCGTCATGGGTACGGAAAGGATGGGCACAAAGACCGACCGCAGTTCTTGTTCCTTTTTGAACAGGATCCGCTGTCGGCGTCGCCGCTGAGTCTGTTCATTCGAGGCAGAAGGCCGCCTGCCCAATAGCGGCCGCTGTTGGTTCGGGACAACATTTGCTGTTGGGCATTGTGCCCATTCTTTCCGTACCCATTTCGGGCGTCCAGATTTCCGGCTGCGTCGCGCAAAATGAACGAGCCATTTGGGCATTTTCGTGCGCCAGCGTTGTCGGCGGCTTTGTTCGCTCGAGATGTGCAAGCTGTTGTATTTGAACCGCGCGCAGGCGATCTGTTTTGTTGTCCTGGATCGACCTGTTCTGTCGTGTTTCTGGTTTTTGCTCACGGTCCAGGCGCCCTTTTTCAGGTTTTGGAATGTTGAAATCATGCGGCTTTCGCTTTTGCCCATGCGAGAAACGATAGCGCTTTTTTAGCAGCGACGAAACCAAAAATGCCTTCGTTCTGGACATCGGAAAACAGCTAGAGCGCCCGTCACCCCCTGCACCCAAGGGTTTCACAGGTGGCGGCGCGGGTGGGTCGCGGTGCGGGGGGGTCGTGGCGAGGGCTGGTCGCGGCGAGGGTGGGTCGCGTGTGGGTGGCGGCGCCGCTGGGTCGCGGCGCGGGTGGGTTGCGGCGCAGGTTGGTCGCGGGGCCGATGGGTCGCGGTCGGGTCGCGAAGCGGGTGGGTCACGGGTGGATCGCGGGCGCCGCGCCGGCCCGTCCGCCCTCCCATTTTTGTTTGCATTGTGTTGTGCTGCCATCGCGTTGCGCTGCCATTAAGCTGCGCAGCATTGCGTTGCGTCGTTTTCCGTTGCTTTGCGTATTATGTCTGTGCTTGCGCGGCGCGCATGACGCCGCGCGCGTGCCCTTTCGACGACGAGCTCAACTCGGCGCTGCATCCTAACCGTTCGCATCATTGCCGTTTCGGTTCACGCTTGCATCTTTGCGGCGGTATGACTCGCCAGCCCTTTGCATCCTTGCTTTGCTCCGCTGGGGCGCACCTGCATGCGTCCTTACCTCATCGGACCCCCTCTTCGTTCATTCAGCCCTGGGCTCTTTCGGGCCGCGCCGCGGCGCGACGGGGGGAAGGGCGACCGGGGGCCGCAACGGAGGTGGATGCCCAAGACGGTCGGCGTTGCGATCGGCTAAGCAGTCCGAAGCCAAGGCAAGGGCCGGCGTCGTCAAGACAGGAGCTTGCCACTTTTGTTAGGAGGGGGAAAAACACACCGACACAATCAATCGTCGAACCCCAGGAAAATTCGGGAACATATGGGAAGTGGGGGGGGGAGACGAGAATCCAGCAAATGTGCTGAAATGTGGAGAATCCTGCTATCTGTGTCTATTTATTTATGTGTGTGTGTGTGTGTCCCAGGGCCCCTCCTCTTGGACAGGCAGAGGACACCAGAAGAGCCGAGTGCCAACCAGCGGTCCGTCTGCGTCGGCGCTCGCGTTCGGCCCTCGACGCGCGGGCGGCAGCGCGCTGTTCTTGCGGATGCCATGACAATGGACACTCTAACAATCCGATCATTGAATCAAGATGTGTTTAAAATGTGTAATACATGTCCTAACAATATTCTAAACATGTCTTTAACAGATTTAAAGCAAAGTCGACACATCTGTTTCGGACACCTGGAGATTAGTTGGCAGCATGCTTCCTCTCCATTGATCGACTTCCATAGCGCTGTTCGCAGAAGCGGGCATTGAAAGGCAGCACGGAGGTTTCAACGGTGCTCGCAGGCGCGGCAAAAAAAACAGGCCAGCAAGAGAGGAATCGCTCATGGGGAACACGCTCGACAAAGCCAGTGTGAGTAGAGCCAACGGGTAATTGGTGCGCACGCTACCGATGAGGGTAACGTGCGATGCGACGTACGGATGTATGTCGGCAGAGGCGGGAGGGCAGGCGTAGGAGGAGGGATCGGGGGGGGGGCATCGTTTCGCTCATGGCCGTCCTACTCTCCACAAGAGAGTCAGCGGTGTTCTTCACGGGCAGGTGAACCAACCTGCTCGAATTCCATCATAGGCTAATCTGCTAATTCGTCAAAGTCATGCCAGATCGAGCACCAGGTTTGTGCGTCTAACACGCGTGCGCCTCAGACGTGGATCTCAGGAAATGGTCTCTCGGAATATTGGACGTTTTATTGTCATGCACCAGTAGAGCAAAAGGAGCGCTCGTCAGGGATGTCGGGGATAGCATGTGCAGGGCGGCGGGGAGTTCGTTGCAAGGGAACGGATTCAGCAGAGGAGCCGTGTGCCGAGTTGTGCGATGCGCCCCAGCAGGTTGGTTGTTCGGCATTATGTCTTTGTCCCATGCCTGCCTATCGAAGGACGGCGACGCTTTGTCGAGGCATCGCTGCTCAAGAGCTCAATGGCAAATCATTACATGGGGCTTTGGGGCGCGTCGGCCTGCGGTCTGAAATCAGTTCTGGACGCTTGGCGCAACCCTACCAGCCCATCCAGAAATGATGCCGAGACGAGTTGCCCTGATCAAGGAGGTGGAGTACAATGCAGTGGAATGAAGGGTTGGGCAAGACGTCGTACCCCAACAGGGGGAGGATTGAGGAGGAATCGGAGAGCACTAGGAGGAGGAGAAGGAGGAGGTGGAGGAGGAGGACCAGCGCATCTGACTGAGTTCGGCTGGTTGGGATTACTGTATCACCCCGGGCGCAGCGTGCGCTTCCCTGATCATGGAGTCGAGAGTGATGGGGGCGGCAAAGCAGGGCCTGCTTTTCATGCCACCTTTGGGGTGGCGGCAGGTCTCAAAGCAGTTCAGAGCATACGTCTTATTATTGCTGGCGGGACACCTATGGCATTCGCTCTTGAAAGACTTGGGATACAATTCACTGTAAGCGCCACAAGACCAGCATGCCAGAACATAGCTCTCATTATCGAGGCGATCGGACGCATGTATGTCGTGGCCGTTTTCTTCTGCCCGGGAAGAGAGGACAGACTTGCCCAGTGCCCTAAGCGGCCTCCTGACGTCACCGATTGGAGGTTCCCACAGCTTGCGTCGGTGACCTGCTCTGGCCCCCCAGCGGCATCCTGGACACTGGCTGGAGGTTCCCACAGCTTGTGTCGATGACCTTCTGTGGCCCCCAAGCGGTTTCCTGAGATTTCGAAGCTGGAGGTTCCCACAGGTTGCGTCGGTGACCTTCTGGGCACCCCGGTGGCGTCCCCAGGTCACCAGCTGGAGGCTCCCACAGCTTGCGTCGGTGAATTTTCTGGGGCCCCCCTGGGGCCCCCAAGCGGCCTCCTGAGGTTTCCAGCTGGATGTTTCCACAGCTTGCGTCGGTGACCTCCTTGGGCCCCAAAACGACGAGGAGCAGGGAGCTTTATGCAGAGTTACGCGCGGGACATCGGTGGCACTCGTCAAAAGTGTGTGCGGTGCGCAATGCAGGCGGCAGAGCAAAAGTAGCGCGCGCCTCGCATTGCGCTGAAGTGCAACGAGCTGGCCCGCGGGGCCCTGTGGGTCTCGTGAGGCGCAGCGGGGTTGGAGGCATTGTCCTGCCTAGCTTTGCGCATCCTTCAGGGTCGGTCCATGTGTCTCCCGCTGGAGGTCGCATTCCAAGCCGCCTGGGCGTGTTCGTCGTTGTGCCTGCGGGGTTGCCTCAGCGAGCTGGCTGCAGATGGCATCCCGAAGCCGTCTTTGAGCGCGTAAGCGCGAAACGCTTCCATTCGCGGTGGGTCTCCAAACACCCAACAACAACCCAAGTAAATTCGCACAACTTTTTTTCTTCATGCGCCTCTTCTGCGGGTTCGTGGGGCCGACTTTCGGTGGACCACTTTGGACAGGACGAGAAAGTGTGAGGAGAGGGGAGGAGGAGGAGGAGGAGGGAGAGGAAGAGGAGAGGAGGAGGAGGAGGAGGAGGAGGAGGAGGAGGAGGAGCATGTGAGAACTTTGAGGCCTCTCGGGGCTCCCTGCGAGGGCGCCGCCGCCGCGCCCTGCGACGCCGTGGGGGCGGCGGCCGCGGCGGAGGCGCCTGGCGCCGCCGCCGCGCCGCAGGCCGTGGGGCAGGCGTGGACGGCCGAGGAGGCGCCGCGGGGGCCCCTGCCTGATCCAGACGCGCAACGTCCTGAACAGATCAGGACGATGAGGAGGACGAAGATCAGGAGGAGAAGGGGGAGGAGGAGGAGGAGGAGGAAAAGGAAAAGGAGGAGGAAAAGGAGGAGGAGGACGAGGAGCAAGGAGAAGGAGGAGGAGGCGGAGGAAGGAGGAGGAGGAAGGAGATGAGGAGGAGGCGAGGAGAGAGGAAGGAGGAGGACGAGGAAGGAGGAGGAGGAGGGGGAGAAAGAAGAAGAGGCGGGGGAAGGGGGGAACAGGTGGAGGAGGCGGGAGGAGCGGAGGAGGCGGATGAGGAGGCGGAGGAGGAGCAGGTGGAGTTACAGATGGATGTGGAGGTGGAGATGGGCGACGACGGTAGGGAAGAGGGTGGAAAGAGGGCAGAGGGGAGGAGGAGGAGGAGGAGGAGGAGGAGGAGGAGGAGGAGGAGGAGGATGGGAAGGAGGAGGGGAAGGAGGAGGAGGAGGAGGAGGAGGGGAGGAGGAGGGAGGAGGAGGAGGAGGGAGGGGGGAGGGAAAGGAGGAGGATGAGGAAGGAGGAGGAGGAGGAGGAGAAGGAGGAGGAGCGTGATGAGGAGGAGGAAGAGGAGGAGGAGGAGGAGGAGGAGGAGGAGAGGAGGAGGAGGGGGAGGAGAAGGAAGAGGAGGAGAAGCAGGGCGAGGAGGATGAGGAGGAGGAGGGGCAGCATGGAAGGAGGAGGAGGAGGAGGAGGAGGAGGAGGAGGAGGAGGAGGAGGAGAAGGATGCGGAGGCAGAGGAGGAGGAGGAGGAGGCGGAGGAGGAGGAGGAGGAGGAGGAGGAAGAGGAGGATGGGACACAGGGGAGGGGAAGGGCCCGGCGCGCGGCCCAAGGCTCGGTGGGTGTCCTCGCTAGCGCAGGAGGATCATCAGCATGAACGCCTTGGGGCGGAACCGTGCGCCCACGAGGGGGGATGGGAGGGGAGGTAGGCAGGGAGGGAGGGAGGAAGGGGGATCCAGACGTGCAACGTCTTGAACAAAGTCGGGTCAGAGGTCCTTATTCCCCAAACGGTGCTTGCACTGAAGGGTTGTTCTCTCGGCAGCTGGGCCTGCGCGTCGGTCTGGCGGCCATGTGGTCGCCGTCGCGGCCAGTCGTCGCCTCGTCGCCGTCCGTCGTCTCTGTCTGCGCGTCGGGTCCGCCGCCACGTGGCCGCCCCGGCGCCGCCCTGTCGCCGCCCGCCCTCTGGGCCCGGGTGGCGGTCCGGCCGCCGTGTGGCCGCCGTCATCACCCGTCGCCGCGTCGCCGCCGCCCGCCGCCTCGTTGCCGCATCGCTTTGCTCTGTCTTGCTTCGCCCCGCACGGTTCTGCATCGCCCTGCACTTGAATCTGCGCCGATGGCCGTTCCGAGTCCGGACGTATGTGGGCTCTGGGGGGGGGGGGGGGGGCGGGGTCCTCGCGGCCTCGCTGCTTGGGGGCCCTGGGGCAGCCAGGGGCCTCTGGACGCTTCCAGGTGCTCCTCAGCTCTGGCGGGCGGCGGGGCGCCACGACCCCCCCCCCTGCCCTCGGGGCACGCCCGTCTCCGCCTCCTCCTCCTCCTCCTCCTCCTCCTCCTCCTCCTCCTCCTCCTCCTCTTGTTTCTCCTCCTCCTCCTCCTCCTCCTCCTCCTCCTCCTCCTCCTCCTCCTCCTCCTCTCGTTTATCCCCCACCTCCTCCTCCTTCTCCTCCTCTCCGCAGCTGTTTTTGCTGGAGCCGTCCTCCCACCGTCTGGCGCGGCCTGGAGCCCACTGCTTGGGGGAGCATGCGCCGCAGGGGGCCGAATTAACATGCGGGCCGCGGCGCCGGAAGGCGGATCCGCGGCCGAGCATGCGGTGCAATATTTCGCCGTCGTTGGGAGCGAGCTGGACGGGCCGCGGCCTCGTGCCGGCGACAGCTTGGGCGTCGTCGTGCTGCAGCGCTACCCGCTGGACGACCACGAGGGCCTGGGGTTCCCGCCGGCTCTGGCGTCCTTCTGCTTCCCTCGCGGTGGTGCCACTGCAGTCGCCCAGGAGGAGGATGCGCCGCTTGCCAGCACGCTCCACGGCTTCGTTCTGACGAACGAGACCAGCGACCGTTGTTACGGGGCAGCGTTGCACATATGGGAAGTGCAACCCTGCGGCAGCGTCCTAGTGCCCAAGGCTCGAAGACGAAAGGAGCGGCAAACACATAGACTTTCGGAGTTTCGCGCGGGTTCTTTGGATCTGCGCTGGGCCCCCTTGGCGGCGCCTCCAGCGCCGCTCCTGGCGCGCTCCGCGCCACAGGAAGGGGGGTCCAGCGCCGCTCCAAGCAATCCGCGCAGACCTCCAGGAGTTTATGCTAATCCGAGTGGCCTTCGGCCCAACCCGCGACCGTGCCTGGGGTGGTGGGTCAGCGTCCTCAGGGCTGCCTGCTGGGGTCTCTTGGAAGTCAGTTCGGGAGCCTCTTGGACGCAGGACGCAGTTTTGAAGCCCCTTGGAGTCCGTCCTGGGGCCTCCTCTGGGGCCTCGTGGCGGCCTGCTGGCGGTGCCATCCGCGCGGACCTCCACCAGTTTTTATGTTCACGTGGTGCTCCTCTCTTCTTTGGAAGGCGCTGGCGGTTGTCGGCATGCAGCCCCTGTGGAGCGCGTTCCACGCCTTCCTGTGCATGGCCGCGCGCACCGCGTGTCGGGAGGCGCTCGTGGTCAACTTCGTGGCCGAGACCCCGCTGCCCCCGCCGGGGTTCTCCGTGCACGTCCAGCTGCAGGCTGCGTGTGGTGGGAGACAATCAGGAGGGGAAACAAAACACAGAAACACTTGATCGTCGATTCCTAGAAAATATGGGAAACTATGGGAAGTGGTGGGGAAGACCAAAGCCCTGAAAATATTGGACAAAGTGGGGAATCTTGTCATTGGTGTGTATTTATTTGTGTGTCCCAGGGCCCCTTCAGACAAGTTTTCCCCAGCAGCGCTTCGCTAGAGGGTTCTGACCCTGGATCTCCGACGACATGGGTTTGTTCGATCCTGCGGTTTTTCCGTCAGTTCGGCCTCTTTGGACCGTTGTCCGGCCCCGCAAGCATCAGGAACGAATATTTGGCGAAGGGACATCCCCAGGGAAGGGTTCGAGACCTCTGGGCCCGCGGATCCAAAACATTAGCCTGGCGAATGATCCAATCATACGCAGATGTGTGTAACGCAGATGTGAGTATCGTCTTCAGAAGAGTTCCCTATGCGGCCACGAAGGTGTGAGGAGCGTTCCGTCATCGTCGCGGCGAGCGCATGCGAAACCGCCTCTGAGGTCTTCTGTGTAGTTCCCGATGCGGCCACGAAACGTGTGAGGGGAGCCCGGAATGAGTGTGGCGAACAACGCATACGAACACCGTCATTGGGTCTTCGGTGGAGCTCACTATGGAGCCGCGACGCGAGAGAGGGATGTACCGAAATAAGGCGGGGCGGGCGCATGCTAACACCGCCACTGGGGCCTTCGGTGGAGCTCCCTCCCTGTGGGGCCACGAAGCGTGTGAAGGGTGTGCAAAAACGGGCGGCGCGCTGGGCGCATGCGAACGCAGCCACTGGGGCCTTCGGTAGAACGTCCTACGGGGCCACGAAACGTGTGATGGGGGGGTCCAAAATGGGTGCTCTGGGCGCCTGCGATCGCAGCCGCTGGGGCGTTCGGTGGAGCGACTTACGAGGCCACGAAGCGTGTGAGGGCTGTGCGAAAACGGGTGCGCTGGGCGCATGCGTATGCAGCCATTGGGGCCTTCGGTGGAGCTCCCTGTGGGGTCACGAAACGTGTGAGGGGTGTGCCAACATGGTTGACTGATGCGGAGGGCAAGGGCAGGGATGGGAGGAGGGAGGAGGGGCAGGAGGAGAGCAGGAGAAGGAACGCGGTGCGCCGTCTCTTCACAGCGAGGACCCAACACCACAGGATGGTTGGGAATCCGATCAGCGATTTCAGGGATAATGGTCAGAGAAAAGACAGCGAAAGAGTCCCACAGGGGGAACGGAGAACCCTAGACCGCCCGATCCGGCAGCCGGTTCGCCCAAGATTTCCTCACAATGTGTTCAGGATTGGCGCTCGCGCCTCCATGCTGGCCACGTTTCTGGTCCGGATGGCCACGATCGTTTTTTGGTAGATAGTAACCAGCGAGGACCACAAACAGTATAATTATAGTATTATGTGTTGTGGCCACTTACGTGGCGCAATTTTTGTGGTGCAATCTACGCGTGCGATATTCTGGGTACCACTGTATGTGGTGTTATCTAGGTGGTGCGGTCAGTGCAGTGCAATCTCTGTTGAGCGGTCTACGCGGTGCACTCTATATGGTGCAATCTACGTGGTGCAATCTATGTGGTGCAAACCATGTGGTACAATTATTTTGCGTTCGCAGTGAGTTGTCAACCCCACTGTTCGCGCACCATCCCACCCACCCACCCGCAACATGGTTTGCACAACCTCTGCGGTGGCAATTGCGATGAGTGCTTGACGTTGGCTGGTCCATCTCTGCGGCCGCGCCAACCCAAGCACGCGCCCGCGCAGCGGCAAGCTAGTTTGGCGCGACCGACGCGACTGCGGTGGCACTGACCGGTGAGCACACCCCAGCGGGCACTTCAGTGCGAGGCGGCTTGGGCGGGCGCGGTATCATGGCAACGTCGGCCACGGTAGACACGATGATGATAGTAGCGATGCTGGTGGCGATGCTGACAACGCCGATGGCGCGGCCATTGCGGGCGCCGATGCTACGATGATGGCGTCCTCGTGTCGGTGATGAAGGCTTTGGAAAGAGTTTGACATGCGCACGCGGCCGACGGGCGAGAGTGGCCCGCATGTTTTTTTTGACACGGATCGTGCCCCCCAGCACGCGCGCAAAGGCGCGGGATTGATTTCGGCATCCGGCGCCAGAGACCCGCTTGGCAGAATTTCAGGAACGTGCTGATCAACTTGTGGTTTCTTAAGAATCCGCAAGAGCGCGAGCGCACGCTTTGTTTTGAAAACTGATGTTGCGAAATCATATGTGTCTGACTGTTTTTGTTGGACACCCGGTTTTGAATTCGCTACGACGCCGATGTTTTTTTGACGGATGCCGGCATGCGTGCGCGACGAAACGCACGTGCGCATTTCGTTCCGTTTTTTGCGAACGATTCTCGCGACGGCACGCGCGCAAGGGTTTCCAAACGATTTCGGTATGCACACGAAGCCCGTTTGGTAACATTTTCTGAGAATAGTGAAAACGATTGTTCTTTGCAGTGCTCGCAAGAACGCGCGCGCAAGTTCTTGCGCACGAAAATTCAGTGTTGCCAAACCATCTATATCTATATATATATGTGTTGTGAAGTGTTCCCGTGAGATCTCCAATGTTTTGCTGTTTTCTCTTGAGGATGTTGTTCGGCACGCCTCGTTTTCGAAATCTTTTGTAAAGCCGCCACACCGACAATACTTTTGTAAGGCCTCCACAAACAAATAATTCTTTTGTACTGCCGCCACATAGCGCATTTTTTCAGAATGCTGCCGCACAAGGAATCCGTTTTGTAAAGCCGCCACAACAGGGATCCATATGCAAGGCCGCCACCAAAAGAATCCTTGTGCGTTGCCGCCGAAAAAAAACGAATCCTTTTGTAAGTCCGCCGCAGGAGGAATCCTTGTTTCTGAGGCCGCCGCAAAAGGAACCATTTTTGCAAGGCCGCCACAACAAATCCTTGTGCAAGGCCGCCGCATACAGAAATCCGTGAGTAAAGCCGCCACACAATAATCCCTTTTTGTAGGGCCGCTAATCCGCTTTCGGCAGCCAGCAGCGGCAAACCAGGAAACACTTCACAAACAAAGAATACAATGAACACGCAAGGAAAAACAATGAATCACAAGTTGCGCACTGTGTTTTAATTTGTTTTCTGTGAGTAGCATTGTTTTCCGTTGTCTTTTCATAGGTTTCAAGATATCTGCACTGCGTGAGATGTATTGTTACAGTTTTTTGTGGTTGACATTCTCTTTTGCGTTGTTGTTTTGATTTTGTTAAGTGTTCGATGTTGTTGGCTGTGTTTGCATATATGTTTTTTGTTGTTACTGCTTTTGGTTGTGATCATCTGTTTTCTTTGGTTTCCAATGTTTTTGGTTGGGATTTCACACGTCTTCTTTTGTGTTCAGTGATTTTGGGTGTGTTTTCATATGTGTTATTTCGTTTTCGTTGTTTCCGGCTGTGCTTTCGCCGTCTGTTCTTGTTTTTCTTTGGTTTTCGTTGTGTTTTCCTTGTTTTATGTTTCATGGTTTTCCGCTGCTGGCTCCCGAAGAGGTATGAGCGGCCTTACGAAAGGATTATTTGTGTGGCGGTCTTGGAAAAGGATGTTTTTGTGGCAGTCTTGCAAAAGGATTCCTCTTGTGGCGGCCTTACACCGAGATTCCTCTTGTGGCGGCCTTACACAAGGATTCCTTTTTGCGGCGGCCTTACGCAAGGATTCCTTCAGTGGTGGCCTTGCAAGGGGATTTCTTCTGTGGCGGCCCTACAGAGGGATTCCTTTTGTGGCCGCGTTACAAAAGCGTTTGCGGAGGGCCTACAAAGGATTCCTTTTGTGGCGGCATTGCAATACAATTCCTTTTCTGGCGGCCCGGACGCGCCGTGGAAGGGTTTCTTTTGTTTTAACGTCGCCACACTGGAGAAATCCTGCCCAATTGTTGTTTCGTCTTGGCGCGGGATGCTTGCCATGAGAAACGTACCGGGTGATCAACATTACCATATGTTTATTTTCTCCGACAATTTGAGCCATGGCGGACGCACCCCTTGAGTTTTTTTGAGTCTTCACATGGGGATAGTATGTGTATTGTTTGTTGGCGTTGGGCGTGGTATGTCTATCGTGAGAGTTGCATCGAGTGAAGCACATCGCCATACGTGCCGTATGAAGGAACTTGACTCACGCCGGACGCGCCCCTTTAGTTGTTTGTTTTTGTTTCTAGTGTCGCCCAAAGATTGGCATGTTGTGCATTGTCTGTGCATTTGGGCGCGGGGTTGTTGCCGTTAGAAACGCAACGGGTGGAAGCTAACATATTCTGTATGATTTGCGCAAGGATTTGTTTGTTCCAGGGCGGACCCGCGCCCCAGGATAGCCCAGAGTATTTTGCATTGGTTGTGGGCGCTGTCTGTCTGCAAGCCAGGACGCCAGAATAGAATTAGACATTTTCAGATTGTGAACATGTGGGCGACCCGGAATCAGTCGCCACCTCCTTCTATGCATGATGGTGCGCGCATAAAGTAGGGGCGACGGTTTCAAGACTCATGGGCGCAAGCTTCATGCGGGGCCCTGACAGTTTCAGGGGTATTTTTTGATGCCCCCCTCACCCGCTCGTCGCGTAACCCGCGCTTTCGCTTAACGCGTGGTGCTGGCTGTGGTTTGAGTGCGGACTGCGACGAGGCAGCAGAAGCATCCCATTTGGAAGCTGGCCGTCACCCGCTCTTCGCGTAATTCGCGCTGTTGCGTCACGCGTGTGATGCAGGCCTCGGCAATTAGCCAACACGCATGCTACATTCATCTGTCAACGCGTCCCCGTCCCCCCAACGTTGAAAGTTGGCGGTGGGTCTGATGAGTTGCACCTCGACCGCAGTCTCCCCCGCGCGTGTCAACTTTGAGTTTGGGGGGCAGGGGGGTGTTTACTATTTGTTTTCTTCTTCCGTGAGCTATCGGCTTGAAGGGGAAATTTGGCAGGGCCAGCAGGAGCGTCCGCTTTTGGATGCCCCCGTGATCGCCTTCGTCGCTCGCTGTTTGCGTTTGCAGCTGAAT